TCCCCCCACTGCCCTCTATTAACTCCCTGAACTGAATTAACACCCCACTGACAGAAATCCACACTCCACCATAACCAACGCAAGAGCAATCTGCCTTCATTCACACTGATCATGTGGCTCCCTGGAACCTCCCTGCCTTACAGCTGGCAGCTGCCTGGGAAGCACCCAGCCCCCTGCTCCAGCCACCATTCCCAGCTGGGAATCACACCCAGAGCACTGCAGGGGCAAAGGAGCAGCCAAGTCAGACAGGCCCTCAGATGTGACACATCACACACAGGTGGGAGGTGGGGGGCTCCATGTAATCCTCCCCTCCAGCTGAGATGCTGAGCTCAAGACAGAAGAAGAAGCAATAACTAAATATGAGATTAATGAACACATCAGAATAGCTTTCAACCAGATTCTAACAGTCAGCAATTAGCTTATTGCTTGGAACATAAATGTTATTGCTTTAATTTTCTAATATAATTAATAACACAATTAACAATACTCTTATTACCCATGTAATTACCCATGCATTCCTGGCTTTTGAATTTTGTTTTCTTCATCACAACAGAACCTGACAGCCAAGAGCTCCACTGAAGTCCTGGCCTCCACAACCTATTTCTGAATCTGGAAATGTATAATGACAGTAAGCCACAAAACAACTTTTTTTCAATGCACAGCTACTCTTCACCAGTGAAGCTGGAACTTTTTATTCTGAAAACTGTGAACATCTGAACTGCTATTCCCACCAGATTTCATTTAGCTCAAACTGCTGCCTCCCCTGGCAATACCAAATGCTATAGACAAGAAGACAAGAGCAAGCAGGGAGTGATACTTCCCAGTGCACTAATCAGCACCTCGCAGCTCAGAGACCTCCCAAGCAGAAGTATTATCTTCTTTAAAAGGAATCTCTGATGGATTTTTGTAGCATTTGGAACAAACACATGAGGAGAAGAATGCCTAGGGCTGTCTGAGCCACAGAAGCCATCGCCAATCACCACAAATGCCATCCACCCTCTCAGCCAGCACACACCAAGTGGTTGCTGCCTCTGGCTGCACTGTGATCGCAGTGCTCCAGGTAAACCATTCCAATGTCACAGGAACTCACCAGGCACAACTCTTCACACCCACGCCCCGCTGCTAAAGGTGATACATGTCACTTTAAATCAAGTGCCTGTACAAACCTGGCAGGTTTCCAGTGAGAACCAACAGGGTTCCCAACAGGATCCTGCCTAGTTTCCCTTTCCTTCAAGCCTATGAGCAGCCCACCTGGAGCCACACTCCCAGGAAAACTGAGCAGCAGACATAGGGCAGCCATGACTAGCCGTGGGAATTTCAGTAGGAAATATGTTTATGTCCAGCTTTAATGACAGTAAGATCTTTGAAGGTACAGAATTACAATAACCAAGGAAAAATAATAATAATGCATTTTGAAAAGCTGAAAACTAAAACGAAGCGGGGTGGTGGTGGGAAGCAGACAGTCTCATCTAAAATGAAACTATTTCCAGCAAAGAGGGGGTACCTGCTAACCAGCTCATCTCCTTGGCATGACAGAATGGGCCCCTCCTGACTCTCCACAGTAAACACCTCTTTTCAGCAAGCACACTCAGGAAAAGGAGACTGTCCTTAGGAAATTCAAGGGAATGGGCAGAAAGTACTGAAATAAATCATTTGAGGACATCCATAGCAAAGTTTTCCAGTGATATGCATATCATCATTGTACAGCAGTCTCTGTGGGAAGTATTAAAGCCCTCAAAAGCATGAGAAACAAATTCGTGCCAGAAAGAAACGAGAATAAACGCTAAAGAACATTCCTGCTCTGCTCTCCAAGGACAGCCACCTCTCACTCCTTCCATGAGAAAAGGTACTGCTCTTTTAAATGCCAGAAGGCCAACAGAGACAACCTCTCCAAAGGAAAACCATTTCTTTGGCTAGCACATAATTGCACTGGCTTCTCCCTGACCTCCCTTTTGAGTGCAAAGTCCCATAAGAACAAAACCAAAAGGCACAAAGCAAACATGAAAGCTCCAAGCTACCCTAAGTCCTGCCCCCTTCCATTTCCCTTCGTGTGTCACTGTCTGGTGACACCCTCAGGTGCCAGGAGCCTTGAACACTCTTTTTCTGACGTGGTCCATCACTCCCCACCTTCCTCCAAGCTGCTGCTGTAAGAGGCTACAGCTGCAGCCCCAGCACGCAGATGCTCCCTCACAGATCCCAACAAACACACACAACTATTTCAACAGAATACTGAGATACAGGCAAAGGACTCCTTTCTGAAAAGCTCACCCACCTGGCAATAACATTGTCGAAACCAGGGAAGTCAGTTCAATGCTAAGCTGTTCCACATGGGCCCTTTCCCTTACTCCCTCACTGCTCCTCACACTGTTATTACTGACCTCTGCCCAAGCACTGGAACTCTTCAGCTTGGCCATAAAGAGGAGATGTAGCCCTAAATTGTAGTTTTCCAGTCTGCAACCAAATCTAAACTTAGCAAAAACCAAAACAAGGCTGAGAAATAAGCTGCACAATACCATACAAGAAATATCACAACCCATTATGTTGGTGTCCCTTCAAAGGACACTTTGGGGCATACTGTCTTGAAATATTAATGAGTTAAAACCACTGTCCCCTCTAGCAGCACTTACATTACTCCATATGCCTACAATGTCATCATGGTTTCCTTCTTGTAACAACCCCTTTATTTGGAACCATAAAGATAAATCTACAATAAATTAACAGAGCCTTACACCTATTTTAAGTGATGTGGGGTTTTCCCCATTTCCTGTTCCTTCTGACAGTCAAAAATGGGCATTTGGAAGCAGGGCCATCCAAGCCACAGAGAGCAGCAGTTTTCCTTCCCTCAGCACCACAGGGCAGTTTGTGGGAAGCCCTTCAAGGAAAGATTAGAACAAGCAGCAGCAATGTTTGCCTTGAGCTGATATTTTGCCTGTCAATCACAAATGTATTTTAAGATAAATCCTGATGCTAAATGAAGCACATGCATTGTAATCTTTCCTGTAACATTCTTTTTTTTACTATAATACACTTATAGACTTTTATCTTAACCAATACTTGCCTTTTTCCTTTTTGTAATGTTTTTTTTGAGCGCCAGGAGCTCCTTCTTGTTTTAAAGACATAGATTTCTACACCACAGACTCTGTCACATTTCAGTTCCTACAGTATTTTTGTAAAGGCATTATTGAATATTGTAATTGAAATAATTATACTTGGCAAACAAGCAACTTAAGTACACAGTGGAATGTGCTCTCTCTCCTTTCTTTTCCAACGCTGCTCAGTTTTCCATCGGTTTGCAAATGTCAGTAGTCTGCTCTTCCATTACCATGAATGAGGAGTTTTTTTGAGTACAGGTAACCAGGCTGAAGTGGTACACAGCCTTCCACCCCACACTAGCTAATTTAATTTCTTCTTAACTGCTGCCCCTCTGCATTCATACACTCCTGGGAAGCACAAGCAATAGCTCAGATCATTCCTACGAAAAGGGCACAAAGCACGGCTCAGCTTCTCTCAAGACACTGCTCTGTAAGTATCAATCTCCCCAGCGATGAACTGGGAGCAGCAGTGTCCTTGTCCAGGGACAAGGAAACCTCGCTGACTGCAGCACAACGTGGTTTTCCCCCATCTTTCTTTACACGACTTAAAAACTTACGAGGTGTACTCCACATATCTTCGGGATTTGTTCCAAGCAAGTCAGATTTAATAATAAAGGATTCAGTTACAATCAGTAATTAGTCATTTTAATGACATGTTTTTAACAAGACTTGCCATGGTTATTAGTGTACTGCAGAAAGGATCTGCAGTAGGAACTGAAACAAAAATCCCGAGGGTGGATTATTTCAGCGTATCAGGCAGCACCACCCCAGGATTTCCACCACACGGACAGTTTTTAACAGCTCGAAGACAGGTAGATGTTGCACAGTGATGACAGATCCTTTGGCTCCAGTCCTGAACACACACAACGCACACACTGCTGGTCCCTGTTGTTTTACTGGGCTAACACGCTCACTGCTACCACTTGCAGAGCACAGATCCTACCCTGCGCTGAGGAGATGAGATGAAAACAAATCACACTTCCAAACCCTGGATTTTACTAGGCATTCATAAAAAATGAATTCATCACCAGAGTCCTCTATAAACTTGTGTGCAGCTGAAGCCAGGATACTTCCAACGTGTTTTTCATGAAACCTGCATGTGCAAGTTTTGCCTTGTACTAACCAGCAGTGGTTTTAAATGCTGAAGTTATAAATACAAAATATTAAAATGTTTCTGGTATCACACTTCTCAAAGAACTTAAGTTACAAGAATTTGCAACACAATGTAAGAAATTACTTCAAAATCTATTTCAAGGTGATTGCCATTTTCATAAAACAGCGCTTTTCTTAATATCCTGAAAAACACATTTGTTGATTTGAAAAATATAAATACCATAGTGACTTGGAAAGCAGATCAGATGAAGGCAAACATCACCACAGAAACTGCTGAAATGCTCTGGTGTTTATTACGTGTTTCACTGCTGGGGTGGTCGAAGCCTTGCACGGGCTCCATCAAACTGAACCAGCTCAGGTGTCCAAAGCACATGAACGAGCCCAGCTCACGTTTAATTTCACAATACAAAACCTCACGTTTAGCTTTCGGGGGTTTTTTAAGGGTTTCTTTCTTTTTAGTAGATGCACTAAGGAGAACTTCAGCCCGCTAAGGACAAGCAGGGGAGCGAGGGCTCTGCGAGCTCCGGGCCCGGCGCGCTCCGCACCCGGCACCGGGCGGGTCCCAGGGGGGAACGGCGGAGCCTCACCCGGGCACGGCACCGGGAAGGTGCGGTGCTGGCACCGAGGCTGCCTGCCGCGCTGTCCCGGCCCTGCAGCGGTTCGCTCGGCACGCCGGGGCTCCGCGGGCACAGGGCCCCGGTGGAACTGGCTCCCGCGGCCCCGGCAGCGCCGCACGGCCCGGCCGGGCCCGCCCCTCTCACCGCCGGCCGCAGCCCCGCTCCCCGCGGTACTCACCACCTCGGCCAGCTTCAGCCTGCCCAAGGTGCCCCGCAGGTAGTCCAGGTCGCAGCGCAGGCCGCCCAGCCCGCGGCGCTGGCTGACGGGCTCCGTGGTGGGCTGATAGGGGCTGCTGGCCGCCGAGATCATGGAGGCGCTGGACGCCTCGCCGTCGAAGCCTTCCAGGTCATCGCCGTTCCTCATGGTGCCGGTGCCGCGGGTGCCGCCGGGGGATGGCTGCGGGCTCCGGGCCGAGCGCCGCGCTCAGCTAAGGCAGCGAGGGCTGCATGGCCACCCCGCGCCCGCCTCAGGGCGGGGAGCGCCCGGGCAGCATCGCGCGGAGCGGGGCCGCGCTGCGGTGCGAGAGGCGCGCAGGGGGAGCGGAGCGGAGCCGCGCTGTCCCGGTGCAGAGCCGTGCCCCAGCCGGGGCGCACAGCCCTGAGCCCCGCCGCTCGGGGGCGCGCCCGGCTCCCTGTCCTGGTTCTGATCCCGATGCCGGTCCCGATCCGAACCCGGTCCTGGTCCCGATCCCGCTCCCAGCAGAGCAGCCCAGCTCCGAGCGGCGCCGCCGCAGCCGCTCCTCCCCCTGCGCGGAGCGGAAAGGGCGGGCAGGGCCCGCCCCGGAGGGCGCGCAGCGGGCGGTGCCTGCGCCGCGCCCGCCCCGCGGAACGGGCCGCGCACCTGCCCCGGGACCCGGCTCGGGGCCGGCTCCAGGCTCCGGGACCTGCCCCGGGCTCACGGCCGAGCCCCTGCGCTGACACTGCGCCCGAGCGGCTGCGGCTGCGGCTGCGGAAACCTCCGCGCCGTTCTTCCACGAGCGTTGTCTTTTGAAACAGTGACGTTTTCCAAGGTAGCCTTGACTGGCTCTGAATCCGGTTTTGGGGGTGCTTTTCCTGGCGCTATGTCACGACAAATAAGGACAAATTGCAACATAACCTGGCAAATCCAGGTGAGTGAAATGCAGCTGTTTTTTTAACACAGCCGTGCTGCTGTGTACCACGGTGAAGTTCAGGTGTTCTGAGTTGCATCCTGTGATCTGCCATGGTTATCAGCCAGGGTCTGATAGACGCGTGCTCCTGTTCTTGTCACTGATAGTCTGCGCTGTCACCTGTTCCACATTACAGGACTTTAACACATTCACAATTCTAGCATCTTCCTCTGGCCTCCAAGCGCCTGACTGCTACAGTTCTGTTTTCCATGAGCACTGTCGACTGCCCACCTGGGGATTTGCTTTCCAGTTACCTGTGTGTTCTACTTCATGCCTCCCTTTCGGTTCCCTTGAAACTCTTTGATCCCTCTTTTCATAGGTTCTGCCCTGTACACGTGATTTTTAATTTCAAGATATTTTTCTTGTTTGGCCTCTGAATAAACATCTCCAAAGAAGGAGGGGCAAGGAGAGAGAACCAGGGAAAGAGTCAGGGGTTTGTTCACCACTAACAGTCACAGCTTGGTTAACTGGAGCTGCAGGTGACTGTGCAAAGTCCTTCCACAGCTTCTCTGCTACACCCTGTGTAGCAGGGTGAGGCCAATATTCTCAAGCAAGGTGAAGAGTGTAAAAGAAAGTCACTGCCCTTTGGTGAAGGGTGAGCAGCAGGGAAAGAAAAAAATAAGAAAACATGAGCAAAGCATGGAGAAAGAGGGTAACTCTTGCTTGTGTCACATGAACCTGGCCTAACAATAGGAAATCATGTAAGGGGGAAATCCCGCTATGGCACAGGGCTGGACTAATAGATGTTTACAGTCTCTTAATTTAAGTTCTTGTATAAGTGGGGAAATCAGAACTGTCACAAAGCTCTTTTTCTTGCAGGAAGCATCACGAGTATGTGGTTGTCATTCCAGAGAGTGTCTCTGGATTGTAACTGAAGGCTCCATGGCTGTTTCAGAAACACAGGTTATGCATATTTACCTGCAGAGACATTTAACCTTTATTTTGAAGGACTCCTGTTGCAGTTCTGGAAAACTATCCTGAGCAAAACAAGGAAAACATCTCTGAAACATCCAGGGAGTATTAGTTTGGTCAATCTTTTGCAATTCTAACCAAAACATGCCAGTGTGTTGAAAGAGAATCTAAAGGTGTGTTGAAGAAGGACAAAGGGGGAAGATAGTTGAGTGGTTTAGCAAAAGGTGAGGTGGTAGGAGATCTTTATTCTGGCTGTTTGCTTAGTTCCTCCAGCACACCCTTCTGCAAACTTTTTAATAACTTCCTTCTCCCCTGGACATGAAGTGTAAATGTATTTAAATCACGAGAGCAGTTTGGGGGTGCTGGGAGGTGCAGACACACTGAACCCATCTGGTTTTGGACAGCCAATTCCCGGGGCAGGGAGAGCACAGCCAGCGAGCTCTGCCCCAGCAGGGTGTTCCGGGGCAAGAGGAGGGCTGCTCCCAGCGTGTGCTGGGTGTCCCAGCTCCCGGGGCAGCTCCTGAGTGTCCCAGCTCCCAGCGTGTGCTGGGTGTCCCAGCTCCCGGGGCAGCTCCTGAGTGTCCCAGCTCCGGGGGCACAGCCCTGCCAGGAGGGTCCACACCCAGCCCAGGCTGGGCTGGGATACCTGGCGTGCTCTTGGATGGGTGGGTGGGCTGGACTGGCTTGGCAAGGCCTGCTGAGGCTGCTGCCAACATTTAACAAAGGAATCCTTTACACACATTCTTGCCTGATACAGCACCTTTACAGCTCTGCAGCAAGGGAAGGGAAAAAAAGTCTACGTTTAATATGTAAATAGAAGTAATGATCCAGGAAAAAGGTCACTGCATTCATCCCCGTGGATCAGATTGCTCTCAGATAACTTTGGCTTTGTGAGTTTCCAGCACAGCCTGCCGTTCCATTGTGTGCCTGCTCACGGGGACCAGGAAAATGGGGAACTGGGTCACTGAGCAGCACTCAAGACACCACCGTAGTATCGAGCTAATCAGATCAGCGAATTAATCACTGAGTTCTTCACATCCAGCTAAAATGCAACTGAAGAGTGAAAACAAGGAAGAAGCAGCACTGAGGGAAAAACCAAGTATGCTGTTCACAGACACTGTAATTAAATTATCTGTTTGTTACAGAACAGTTAGGTCAGCTTTGACAGAATTAAAAACTCCCCATCAGAAAGAATCTCCAAGACACTGGTCATAAATTAAAACCACCTGGTGAGTTAGGTGTAAAAGGCAGTTGAAAGAGAATCTTAAATATTCTCAGTGAACAAAATGAACAAAGAGACCCTCATCTCTCAACCTTCACCTCAGATATTCCTACAGTCTCTCATAAACTTGTGAACCAATTGTGGGTTCTTTTCATTAAGCACATTTAAATGCTATTTCCAAGATTAAAACTGTGATTCTATTCCAGCAGAATAGGAATATCAATTCAAACCAGATTTAAAAGTGCTTTTATGTAATTTAAACACACTTAAAAGTATTTTAGCTTTGCTCAAACATAAAATTTTGTAGATCTGAATGGTGCTTATTAGGAATGGTGCTTTAATGCAGTTGAGAGTGTAAAAGGCATTAGAATCCTAACAGGAAAGTTACATCTGTGCAAGTACCTGAAAAGAGCCGAGAGGTTCTTTAAGAGAAGGCTCCGGCATTTCCACGTGACCTGCCAAAGGGAAGGAGCCCTGGTATGCTGCCAAATTCCAGGAGAGCTGAGCACTGATTAGAGTTTAACTTCGGCATCAGACAGGAGGCTTTTTTCTCCTTGAAATTCTCAATGTAAAAAGTGCTGAAGCTTTTTCTTAGCTTTTCAGTTGGGGAAAAGAAAAAAAAGCCAAGCCCCACCCTCAAAAGCTAATAAAGAACTTGCTTCAGGAAAACATCTGGTAGCTTTAAGTGCCTCGGTGCATGGAATTGTGCATTTTGCCAGTGTGGGAGCGTGGTGTGCACAGTGGTTCTGAAGCCATGAGCAGCATGGGAGGTGGGCAAATCATTTTGCCAAGTCAGAAGTAGGAATTGATACAAGAATAAGAAACTGCAAGTTCTGGCACAGACTTTAAGCAGAAGGAAAACTGTCTGGGATGGTGGGGAGTTGTGAGGTCAGTTCTCTGTAGTGCTGCTGAACAGTGTGACAATCCCATGTCACCGCATCCTTCCACAGCTGGGCATGCAGCCTCCCAGCAGGACACCACCGGGAAAGGCACTCGGGAACAGTGAGGACACCTGGATTCCACAGCTGGGAGTCAACACCAGTCCTACCAACTGAGGAAAGGGGTCAAAGCACAGCCCTGCCAGCTGAGGAGAGTTCAGGGAGAAGCAGAGAGAACAGAAAGAAGCTGAGATGAAGGGCAGCCTCTAAGAGCTTCTTGCAAGCTCCACTGGCTGAGAGCACCGTGCCCGTTTGGCCAGGGTCTCTTGGGCATGCACCACAGCACAGCAGGGGACTCCTGGGCTTTTCAGCTGGTTAAAAAAGTGCACCTTCAGTAGCCAGCAGTGGTAGTGACTCTTAGTCCTCTCCTCAGCTACAACGTTGCCCTGTGCACTTTCACCACCTCCAGCCCTGAGGCCTTGGAAAACAAAGAGAGCAGCCCTGGAGCCCCCAGGCTTCAGCCCCTGGGGACAGTCCCCAGCCCCAGGAGTGCCACCAGCTCTCACAGCTGGGAGCAGAGGCAGCAGCTGCTGAAGTCCCCACAGGACCCTGCCAAGGACTAAGGGGACAGGTAAAGTGTCACTGCTGCAACTTCACCATCACTGTCAGGAAACAGTGTTTCCCTTTTAAAAACAAATGAAAAATTAAAAAAAAGCCCCCCCCCCCCCCAGAAACAAAACCAAGAAAGGCAATGCTGCCAAATGGCTCAGTCAGACCCTTACCTTGCAGACAGGAACACAACTTCGTGTGCTTTTACTTTTAACAATGAGCCATTCACAGAACTTTTTTTTTTTTTTTTAACTCCAAGATTAGGGACTGACATCTCATTCTGTATCATCTACTGGGCCAGTTTGGTAGTGAATGAAGAAGTCACTTGCTCCTTTCACCTCCAAAAACTTCTAAGGGTATCCACAATCTTCAGGTGCCAGAGAGGGATTACCATGCAGCCACAGGGCAGCAGAAATTCTACACAGCAGAAGGTGAAATGAATTTCTATAAAAAAGAGAAGCAAAATGCCAGATTCTTAAGAAAAGTGCCAGCAGACCTTTAATGGTGCTGGGAACCAGCCAAGACTGTGAGTTATATTTCTTTTGAAAGAATCCTATATAATGAAGCACAGGGAAAAAATATGCTGAGAGACTGACAGCAGTGTTTATTTTATTCATGGCACTACATTTATCCAGGGAACTGAGGGGAAAAAAAGCCCTGTACTGAGGTGGTGGTCTTCCAATAACACCATAAAACCATACAGACCTAGAGCAGAAGGCCAGAAAACTCATGTTCCCTCTGCATGGACATGGGGATGCTGCCGCTGCACCATCAGTAGTTTTATAGCAAGTGATGGAGCACGCAGGGTACAGCAGACTTTGGAGGGAAAGAGCCAGGGTTTATTTTTTGAGGAGATGGGAAGCTGAAGGGAAGGATGAAAAAATTGTATAAACCATGTTTTATAAGAAAAGTTTTAAAGGTCCCTCAGCAGGCTTAAAAAAAAGATGAAGTACACTCACTACATTCTTT